ACGGTTTTATAAATCTGAATTTTTTTTGGCGTACCCCATTTCTGCCTTTTGGCCGTACGTTCACTTTTAGTCTGGTTTCCACGCAATCCTTTATAAATGAGACCCCTGGAGCTTCAGTTTCACAGTAAATCTGATGGTAATATTTTACTCATTGTTAGTAMTACTGATCTCCTGTGGTTTCCTGATCAGATCTTCATAATAATCTGTACGATCTGACTTTGTAAAGAGGATTTTAGTTTTCATGGTGAATCTTCTGCTCAGACAATGAGGTCAGCAGATAGTTTGTTGTTTTTGGTGTGCTGTCTCTTCCTGACTCACCTCTCTACTGGATTACCGCCTCTTCATCTCTCACAAGCCTTTTTCCCAGGGGGCTTTGCTCACAGGGGTTTGTTGTGATGAGGAGAAGCACCAGAAGCAGATCGTGTTGCAGCTCGTTCATCACCACACACACACACAGACACACACACACAGACACACACACACTTCCATCTCTGTGGACTCTCAGCAGAATGCAGCTCGGCTGTTTCCAGGACAGCAGCTGCTTCCTGGTCTCTCCTGGACTATCTGAGCTGAACTTGTGTGCTTTGCTCCCTGGATGGACCGTCACACATTTATAAACACGATGTAAAAACAGTCAGTAAGGTGTAAATGAGCATCACTCTGTGGGTTCTGCTGTGAGCCGTGAGAAGCTGCTGGAGAACAGAGTTAATAAAGTTCTTTAGAAGCTGGATGTTGAGTTAAAGATGGAGCTGAGTGTTTCAGCCAGCTCTTCTCTCAGCTGCTCTTCAACCGTTCGGTCTCACTGATCGTGTGAACAGTTGGCTAACAGCCCTCAGCTGACTGGTGTGATCCTCTTAACGAGGAGAATCAGGAGGATCAGGTGGTCCTCGGTTAAGGTCCGGTCCACAGGGACATGAATATTTAGAAACCTTCTTCTGCTGCTTCTTTCATATAGAAAATGTGTTTTTGTTAAAAAATGACAGATTTAGAGTCCAGTCTGTATAAACCTGTCTCACCACCCCCCTTTAAAGTGCCTMTAACATCAAATCTTTGTAATAAATATGAATTAATTTTTGAAAGATAACAATGATAACATGTTGAAAAACAAAATTCACACAGCTGAGATGAAAAGACGTTGAGATATTTACATGTGAAGTAACAGGAAGTGATGTCAAAGGGGAATGTTTGACTGTGAACAGAGTGCTGTCTGATAACACAGACTGTAGAGAAGAGTTTAATGTTTTCAGGTTYTTTTGAGTCTCTATCAGTGAGAGATGAAGACGTGTCAGAGTTCAAATATTGTTGTTTCAGTAAACAAAGACCAGAGTTTCTCTGTGATGTCACTTCCTGTTTCATTTTAGCTGAGCCACATCAAGAAAATCTGTCGTTTACCAGACAAAATAGGTAAAATTGTGTGTATTAAACCAAAATTCTTGACTTTTTGTATTCGAAGGATATGTCACAGGCACTTTAACTCCACTCAGGTCCACAGAGTCTTTGTTGTTAAAAGCCCCGCCTCCAGGTGGGCGGGATCATCACTGCACACCTGCACAAAACTTCTGTGATGTTATTTTCAATCTGAGACAAACACAAGGCAGCAAAGAGCAAATAAATAAAGTCAGTAAAAGACTCTCCGTCCTCTGATCTGGTTTTTAATAACACATCCTGGAGTCGAAGCTTCCTGTCGGTCAGAGAAAGTGTTTCTGAGAGGCATTAACCTGTCACCAACCTGCAGAAACTCTGATGTTTAGCTGATGTGAAGCTGTGTGAAGGGTTTAGGACCTGTTCAGATTCAGCTGGACACTGAAACACTTCTGTTKAATTAGACTCTTGAACTAATAAGAGTTAGATTAGCAGAGTCTGAACAGTCTAATGAACACTGATTCACCTGAGTGGACACAAACCTAAACTAGACATTTAAAAAGATATTTACAGTTTGTGGAATCAGAAACAGATTCGTTGTTTTACTGATCTGTTTGGGTTGAATGTGTTGAGCTGATTCCTGCAGGTCAATCCCAACATATTTAATCATAATTTATTTTAAAAAATGATTTCTGTATAAATGTGCTGACACAGCTTCTGTCAGKAACTCCAACATTCATCAGCTTTCTTCTCTAAAGTCCAGCAGGAMCTGAGGCTTAATGATCCTACCTGATGAAAAGATGCAGGTTAGATGATTTCATGTTGTTTCTGCTGCCCCCAGTGGCCAAACTGGAACATTTCTGTGTAAAAGGACCAGATGAAGCTTCTGTCAGAAATCCARGACCTGACAGAGAGGTTGTATGAGCTGTGGTGACCAGTCAACACCATCGATCTGTTGCTGTTTGATTTGTGGCTCACATCCAATCAGAACAGGCCTGTGACAGACAGACTGATCAGTTACACAAACAACAACAACAACAACACACAAACACACACCAACAACAACACACAAACACACACCAACAACAACACACAAACACACACCAGCTGGGATCAATACACACTCACAACACACATACAGACTCACTGAAACACTGTCCTGTCACACTTTACATATTAACAAATTCATCCATCCATCATCCATCCATCCATCATCCATCCATACATTCATCCAACCATCCATCATCCAACCATCCATCATCCATCCATCCATCATCCATCCATCCATACATTCATCCAACCATCCATCATCCATCTATCCATCATCCATCCATACATTCATCCATCCATCCATCATCCATCCATCATCCATCCATCCATTCATCCATCCATCCATCCAACCATCTATCCATCCATCATCATCCATCCATCATCTATACATTCATCCAACCATCCATTCATCCATCAATCATCCATCCATCATTCATCCATCCATCCATCATCCATCCATCCATTCATCCATCCATCCATCCAACCATCCATCCATCCATCATCATCCATCCATCATCTATACATTCATCCAACCATCCATTCATCCATCAATCATCCATCCATCATTCATCCATCCATCCATCATCCATCCATCCATTCATCCATCCATCCATCCAACCATCCATCCATCCATCATCATCCATCCATCATCTATACATTCATCCATCCATCCATCCATCATCTATACATTCATCCATCCATCCATCCATCATTCATCCATCCATCCATCATCCATCCATCCATTCATCCATCCATCCATCCAACCATCCATCCATCCATCACCATCCATCCATCATCTATACATTCATCCATCCATCCATCCATCATCTATACATTCATCCATCCATCCATCCATCATTCATCCATCCATCCATCATCCATCCATCCATCCATCCATCCATCATCCATCCATCCATCCATCCATCCATCATTCATCCATCCATCCATCCTCAGGTCTGGAGTGCTGCATCTTGATTAAACTTGATTTACTGATTGATTGATTGACTGATTGACTGATTGATTGACTGATTGATTGATTGACTGATTGATTGATTGATTGATTGATTGATTGATTCATTCATTGATTGATCAGGGAGGTCCAGCCACCTCTTCCAGCTCTTCTGGGAGGACTCCAGGTGTTTCCAGACCAGCTGAGAGACGTAGTCTCTGCAGCATGTCCTGGGTCTCCTCCCAGTGGGACATGTCCAGAACACAGTGGTCATCCTGACCAGATGAAGCTCCTCAGCTGGTTCCTCTGGATGTGGAGCAGCAGCAGCTTTACTCTGAGTCTGTCCTGGAGAACTGAACCTCACAGTCCAGCTACCCAGCAGAGAAACCTCTTCGGACTGTGGTTCCTTCAGTCTCTGCTCAGAGTTCAGACCATAGATGAGGGTAGGAACATAGACCGACCTGTGAACAGAGACATGCTGGGGTAGATGGAGACAGCTGAAGGGATCAGACTAAAGAAGAACATTAACAGATAACTGTCTTCCTGTCTGAACCTGAACCCTGTCCTGTGTTTGTGTCCTCCTGTCTCCAGCTGTTGAACCTCTTCCTGGCTCTGCTCCTCAGCAGTTTCAGCTCCGACAACCTGTCYGCTCCAGACGACGACGGAGAGATGAACAACCTGCACATCGCCATCCACCGGATCACCAGAGGACTGGCCTGGTGCCGCCGACAGGTCTGTCCCGGTCCACCTGAGGACCTGCTGCTGGAACCTTCACACACATGAACATGTGTGCTTCATGTTTCTGTCTCAGGTGGTGGACTTCTTCAACGGCAACCTGAAGCGCCGGCGCCAGAAACGCAAAGAAGCCAAAGCCATGATGAAGCTGAAACGTCTGAGTTCCATACACACCGAGGCCAACGGAGCCGTCATCGGTAACACACCTACACACACACAGACACACACACACACAGACACACACACAGACACAAACTACAGTTTGAGTTTCTCAAACCGTCTCCTCTCAGGCCGTCACGTGGAGAAGTACGTGGTGCCGGAGGACGACAGCTACATGACCAACCCCAACCTGACCATCAGCGTGCCCATCGCCCCCGGAGAGTCGGACGTGGAGTTCCCCGAGGAAGAGGAGGAGGAGGAGGAGGAGGGGGGAGGGGAGGAGCAGAGCGAGGGGTCTGAGGGAGACGAGGAGAGGGAGGAGGAGGTGAGGAGGAGGTCTTTGTGGTTCAGACAGAAACACACCTGCACCTGACAAACTGTGAGTCAGCTGGATTCAAACAGCTGTGTGTGTGTGTGTGTGTGTGTGTGTGTGTGTGTGTGTGTGTGTGTGTGTG